TTATTATTAGCTAATTTATCTCTAGTTCTCTATCGTTTACATCAGTTAACTTTTCAATATATTTTTTAATTTTGTTTAACTCATTTATAAATAATCAAACTTAATTTTCCACTACTCATTTTTTTTTTTACTTATTTATAACTTTAATTATTTATAAATTATTCCCAAAAGGAGATTAGGTTATACGCTTTCCTCCTATTTTTCTATGAGGCCTACGTTTGATTTAAGTTGAAAAGTTAATAAAATCTAAGTCCGTGTCAATAATTAATTATAACTACATATTTTCTTGAATTTCATATTTTTTTTTTCAGCTTTTCATCTGTACATTTCATCTACATTTATCAGTATTTTTTAAAGATTTGATTTTTAGTGAAACCAGATATCCTAATTTATTTCTTAAAGGCTAGAGTCTATTTAAAAGTCGTTAAAATATGACTTTACAATTGCTCGTCGAGTTCTTTTAGCAAGAAAAATAAACTTTTGAGCAGCATAAAAATAGGCCGCATTTGATTTGATATTTTCAGTTTTCAATTTTAGAAAAAAAAAAAAAAAACTGACAACGTGTTTGATTTAATATTTTGAAAATATATTTTCGAAAAATAGGATTAAATTTATAATATAAAACTCAAAACTGACATTTTGATGTTTTCAATGAAAATTTTGAAAACACTCAAAACATGAAAAATAAGTGTTTAAATAAAATTTTAGAAAATAAAATTATAATAAATAAAATCTTAAATTTTAAAAAATATATATATTCAAAAAAATAAAAAAATAAAAATGGTTAATTCTAAAAAGTAAAGATTTTGAGTAAATAAAATTTAAAATTCTAAAAAAAATAAATTTCTAAAAAAAAAATTATAAAAAAAATAAAAATAGTTCAAACTCATAATAATTATTTACATAAAACTTCTAAAAATATATTTAAATAAATAAGACAAAAATATTCTCAGTGCAGGTCATTAATTTTTGAACTCAATTTATTATTTATTTTACTTTATTTTGGTAGGTAAAAAAAAAATATTGTATGATTCACCAACTTTAAAATATATATTTAAGTTAATAATATATTAACATAAATTTATTCTATTTTTACTAAATCAAATTTCTTGAAATAAAATTTCATAAAACAATTGCTAAAAATTTCAAACTAAACGTGTTTCCTAATTTTTCACCCCACAAGAAAGGCTCTAATGTGAAAGGTAAAATTACATTTGACCCCTTGTTTGAGCCCGGTTTTAAAAGAAAAATATATTTTTGAATAATGATTTTCGAATAATAAGTGACTAAAAGTTAAGAAATTTTTTTCGATTTATGTGAGATAATATTTTATTGAATAATGTGTAGTTGAAAATAAGTTTTATAGACGGGAGGACTCAAATAATCCCTCGATTTGTTTACTTGTGATGACTAAAATTTGCGGAAACTTGACGAATGGGACAAGCCTTCAATCAAATTTGTAGGTTCAATTTAAGAGCTTTTCACTTAGTTGATGAGAGGGGACAAATGCAAAGATGAATTAAAAAGAATATTGGAAATCGTATTTGAAAGACGTGAACAACATGTAATTTGGTAAAAAAAAGTGCATAAAATCACGAAAATAGCTTTATTCCAATGGCAGAGACCTTTTGATCGTGGAAGATTATTATTCATTCATTGGGATATATCCATGGAGATATTAATGAAGAATGTGACAATTTCAATAATATATTCGAATAAAGAACTAGGAAGACGATGACAATAAAAAGCTTTATTTGGTATTTTCCTCGAGAAAGGTCTCAAAATATATAGTTATTATTAGCTAATTTATCTCTAGTTCTCTATCATTTACACCAGTTAACTTTTCAATATATTCTTTAGTTTTGTTTAACTCATTTATAAATAATCAAACTTAATTTTCAACTACTCATTTTTTTTTTTTACTTATTTATAACTTTAATTATTTATAAATTATTCCCAAAAGGAGATTAGGTTATACGCTTTCCTCCTATTTTTCTATGAGGCCTACGTTTGATTTAAGTTGAAAATTTAATAAAATCTAAGTCCGTGTCAATAATTAATTTTAACTACATATTTTCTTGGATTTCATATTTTTTTTTCAATTTTTATCTCTACATTTCATCTACATTTATCAATATTTATTAAAAAATTAATTTTTAGTAAAACCAGATATCCTAATTTATTTCTTAAAGGCTAGAGTCTATTTAAAAGTCGTTAAAATATGACTTTACAATTGCTCGTCGAGCTCTTTTAGCAAGAAAAATAAACTTTTGAGCAGCATAAAAATAGGCCGCATTTGATTTGATATTTTCAGTTTTCAATTTTAGAAAAAAAAAAAAAAAACTGACAACGTGTTTGAAACTGCTGCCCCTAGGGCATAGTCCAGTGGTGGAAAGGACGGGAGTGAAGTTATCTCACGCCTTACTGACAGCCGTAGTGTGGAGGTTCGATTCCTGAGACATAGATTTGGACTCCATATAGGCGTAGTATACCGACAGCTTTTGTTCCCTGGCCCACTAGGACACATTCCGCGATTTACTTTCCTCACAAAGCTCTAGAGACGGGGCGGTGGGGGTCTTCAAGATTGGGGTTCAATCTTTTTAAGAAATATGCAGTTGCCTAACTGTACTCCAATGATACTTCACTTGTACTTTAATATACAATTTAATTTTGTGTTTAATTCTTTACCAATATTATTTAAAAAGTACAACACAAATATATATTTGAATGAAACCTGCAGTGTACAGAATCGTTGATATGTAATCATTTTGAGTGGGGCTACGAGTATCGTCTCACAGGAAATAAATTTCAATTGAAGTTAACAAATTATATATGGAATTCAAATTTTGTAAAACAAGAAAAAGATTTTGATTTGATTTTTGCTATATATTTCAATTCTTGATTTATAATCTAGTTTTGTTTATGTGTTCTCGACCATTGATAAAATTATGATATATAATTTTCTTTTTCAAGCCAAATTAAGCCCCTGTTTGATTTTCATTCTTTAGCCACAAAAATGAGAATTGGTTTTGCAAATAATTTTTTAAAATGACAGATGGAACGTATTTTAGCAATTTTAAAACAAATTTTTAAACTGAAAAATTGAAAATGAACTCAAAACTGAAAAGTTAAATACAAATCAAACGGATCCTCACTCTCTTAATTTTGATGCAAAAGAATCGGTGCTGAAGAATAGAACCGACTAAAACCCGGTCCACCGTTACAGTTTTTGCTTTTTATGATTAACAAACGGGATTAGATTGAACCGATGTTATATGTCGGCCAAAATTGTACTTATCTTTAAGGAAAATTGGGCGTGGCGGCCGTTCCCGGACGACACACTAGCAGCCAAGTAAGACAACTCTTATTGCGTGCTGCCAATGCACACCAAACCCCACCCCAACCCCAACCCGTCAATTTTGTTTTAAACTTATTATGAGTCTCACAGTACTACAATAAACAACTAAAATTATTTAACTGGTGATCAAACAATTAAATAAAGCAATGGGTATGAAAAATCAATCTAGAAATGAAAGAAATAATAAATTGCTGGTCTTAAATTAGAAATAAATAACAAATAGGGTTTATTTTCATCCAATACAAAAGCGAATCTAGCCTAATCCCCCTCTCTCTATCTCTACCTCCACCTCCATATATAAGCCACAATCTCAGAAAACCCACCTGTTTCTAGGACACTTAACAGATGTTCAAAGAGAGAGATCCCTCACAAATTTCAGGGTTTTTGTTTTAGGGTTCTAATATTTGTTAAGTGTATTAGAATTAACGAATAAATAGGTGTTTATATGAAAATGGAAGAAGGGTCTTTCTGCACGGAGAAAAGAAAGCAAAGACAGTCCCAAAAAGACAAACCCTACAGAGGAATCCGCATGAGGAAGTGGGGAAAGTGGGTTGCAGAAATAAGAGAGCCCAACAAAAGGTCAAGAATTTGGCTTGGTTCTTATTCTTCGCCGATCGCCGCCGCCCGAGCCTACGACACGGCGGTGTTCTACCTGAGAGGCCCTTCTGCTCGGCTTAACTTCCCTGAGCAGCATAAAAATAGGCCGCATTTGATTTGATATTTTCAGTTTTCAATTTTAGAAAAAAAAAAAAAAAACTGACAACGTGTTTGAATTAATATTTTTGAAAATACATTTTAGAAAAATAGGATTAAATTTATAATATAAAACTCAAAACTGACATTTTGATGTTTTCAATGAAAATTTTGAAAACACTCAAAACATGAAAAATAAGTGTTTAAATAAAATTATAATAAATACAATTTTAAATTTTAAAAAATATATATATTCAAAAAAATAAAAAAATAGAAATGATAAATTCTAAAAAGTAAAGATTTTGAGTAAATAAAATTTAAAATTCTAAAAAAAATAAATTTCTAAAAAAAATTATAAAAAAAATAAAAATAGTTCAAACTCTTAATAATTATTTACATAAAACTTCTAAAAATATATTTAAATAAATAAGACAAAAATATTCTTAGTGCAGGTCATTAATTTTTGAACTCAATTTATTATTTATTTTACTTTATTTTGGTAGGTAAAAAAAATATTGTATGGTTCACCAACTTTAAAATATATATTTAAGTTAATAATATATTAACATAAATTTATTATATTTTTACTAAATCAAATTTCTTGAAATAAAATTTCATAAAACAATTGCTAAAAATTTCAAACTAAACGTGTTTCCTAATTTTTGGTTTTGCAAATAATTTTTTAAAATGACAGATGGAACGTATTTTAGCAATTTTAAAACAAATTTTTAAACTGAAAAATTGAAAATGAACTCAAAACTGAAAAATTAAATACAAATCAAACGGATCCTCACTCTCTTAATTTTGATGCAAAAGAATCGGTGCTGAAGAATAGAACCGACTAAAACCCGGTCCACCGTTACAGTTTTTGCTTTTTATGATTAACAAACGGGATTAGATTGAACCGATGTTATATGTCGGCCAAAATTGTACTTATCTTTAAGGAAAATTGGGCGTGGCGGCCGTTCCCGGACGACACACTAGCAGCCAAGTAAGACAACTCTTATTGCGTGCTGCCAATGCACACCAAACCCCACCCCACCCCCTCTCTCTATCTCTACCTCCACCTCCATATATAAGCCACAATCTCAGAAAACCCACCTGTTTCTAGGACACTTAACAGATGTTCAAAGAGAGAGATCCCTCACAAATTTCAGGGTTTTTGTTTTAGGGTTCTAATATTTGTTAAGTGTATTAGAATTAACGAATAAATAGGTGTTTATATGAAAATGGAAGAAGGGTCTTTCTGCACGGAGAAAAGAAAGCAAAGACAGTCCCAAAAAGACAAACCCTACAGAGGAATCCGCATGAGGAAGTGGGGAAAGTGGGTTGCAGAAATAAGAGAGCCCAACAAAAGGTCAAGAATTTGGCTTGGTTCTTATTCTTCGCCGATCGCCGCCGCCCGAGCCTACGACACGGCGGTGTTCTACCTGAGAGGCCCTTCTGCTCGGCTTAACTTCCCTGAATGTATAGCCGAAGGTGAAGTATGTCATGAATTGTCGGCTGCGGATATAAGAAAAAAAGCCACCGAGGTTGGTGCTAGAGTGGATGCGTTGCAGAATACACTCCATGCACCGACTGAATCAACCACCTCAATTCGGGTTGACTTGAATCAGTACCCGAGTCCGGAGACTTCTGATGATAATTAAATTTATGGGTCTTTCTTTTTTGTTAAAGATTACCTTTTTCTTTTGGGATGAAAAGCTGCAGTTGCACTTGCAAGTGATAGGAGACTGTATAGGGTTTTGTTTTGTTATGAATATAGAGGTATAATCCAAAGGGATTAGTACGTTTGTTGGGGATTTACAAGCCAAAATTTATTATTTACTATTTTCCATGTTAATTTAACGTTCTTAATTATTTTTCTTTTAGGAATATTTTCTCTATATAAATCTTGAATATTGAATCTTTTTTTGTTCTTTGATTAAACTTCAAGAACGAGCATGTCAAAAGCTTGTAAAACTAGAACTGTTTTGAGTCTTCATTCATCGAATCGAGTAAGTTTCTTTTTAAAATTGATCAAAAAAGTTGATTAGAAGTCTGTCACGCACAATACGATTCGACATGGGAGATAGTGGGTGTACATGTAATGGGATGAGAAAGGAAAGAAATATGGCATATATTGAGTACCCCACATTGATGATGAGAAGAAGATAAGGTAGAGAATTTGATGTGGAAACCGGTATTTTTGTGACGACCATGTGGACACCACGCCATAGTTCCAAATGAACATATTAAGTGGTCCTCAAGTCATTGTCATGAGATGAAAGGAGCTTTGGAAAGGTGGTTCACTAGTGGCTGGCGAAGGATTAGGACATGGGCGGTGAGTATTTTTTCCACCAATATTTATACACACAAAGACATACATGTACCTACATCATGTGGGGTCGGGGTGGATTGTAACTAGCTTAAGTGGCTTCTCACATGAAAGGCAATACCACGCCCTGACGTAGGATGGAAATGTAAATAATGATAAAAGGTTTTTGTCCATAATACGTGAATGGGTGTTTACTCAAATTTCCTTTGAACAAACATGGAAAATATATATTGGAATCAACCAAAGACTATAAGTCAAAAATTAATGTAGGTTTTTCAAGCCCTTAAAACATATATAAAGAGTCAAAACAATATCTAATGAAATCGAAATCCTAATTCGACAGACAAATCTAAATAAAATTGAAAAGTTGCAAAAATAACGAAAATACCCTTAAACTAACTCAAAATAGATCGCTGAACAATGAAATTTGACCTCAAAAGTTTTACGATATTGACCAAAGGCCAATCGTTAACCGAAAAAATTGGACAGAATCGAGAAACACTTGAATTGTACTCGCTCTCGAAAATCTAGCACACAAGTAGAAAGTTACATTTTCGTAAATCCTTCTTATTTCTTATCTTTTCTAATTGGTTTATATATTCTCTTCTAACTATTCCACATCAACTCCAATGGCTCTTATAGACCAATCATTGGCCAACTTGATGCCAACTCAAGTGGCTTAGCATGTGAAAAGCACTGCATAGACATAGTCTAGACCTATAGCCCTTATTGTTGACCAACTTGAATCTTTAGTCGAGATGTGTTGGGTTGAGCCAGGTCAAGACTAGTAATCGCGCTCGTCCTAGACTCAGGGTTGGGAGAACGCACTGTGTAATGATAAAGTGAAATTGTTTATAGACCAATAATGGTTATGGTTCGTAATTAGATGGGATTAGACCATAAGAAAACATAGTTTGTACAAGCCTTTAAGCTTTCTGTTGGATCGTTATGTTTCTTCCATATATACTAGCCAACTGCTGCCCCTAGGGCATAGTCCAGTGGTGGAAAGGACGGGAGTGAAGTTATCTCACACCTTACTGACAGTCGTAGTGTGGAGGTTCGATTCCTGAGACATAGATTTGGACTCCATATAGGCGTAGTATACCGACAACTTTTGTTCCCTGGCCCACTAGGACACATTCCGCGATTTACTTTCCTCACAAAGCTCTAGAGACGGGGCGGTGGGGGTCTTCAAGATTGGGGTTCAATCTTTTTAAGAAATATGCAGTTGCCTAACTGTACTCCAATGATACTTCACTTGTACTTTAATATACAATTTAATTTTGTGTTTAATTCTTTACCAATATTATTTAAAAAGTACAACACAAATATATATTTGAATGAAACCTGCAGTGTACAGAATCGTTGATATGTAATCATTTTGAGTGGGGCTACGAGTATCGTCTCACAGGAAATAAATTTCAATTGAAGTTAACAAATTATATATGGAATTCAAATTTTGTAAAACAAGAAAAAGATTTTGATTTGATTTTTGCTATATATTTCAATTCTTGATTTATAATCTAGTTTTGTTTATGTGTTCTCGACCATTGATAAAATTATGATATATAATTTTCTTTTTCAAGCCAAATTAAGCCCCTGTTTGATTTTCATTCTTTAGCCACAAAAATGAGAAATATGATCATTATTCATTACATCAAGCTACCATATTTGACTTTCTATTTCTTGTGTGGATCCCGTAACGACTATATTTTTCATTCTCATCCCTACAAAAATGAATGCCAAACAAGGCCTAAATCTATTCTAACCACGACAATGAATCTATTCATAGCTCGAATTCGAATAATTAGAATGTATTAAAGTTTACATTATCTATATGATTGCACACCTGATAAATATTATTCTTGACATTTATTACACATGTCAATTTTGTTTTAAACTTATTATGAGTCTCACAGTACTACAATAAACAACTAAAATTATTTAACTGGTGATCAAACAATTAAATAAAGCAATGGGTATGAAAAATCAATCTAGAAATGAAAGAAATAATAAATTGCTGGTCTTAAATTAGAAATAAATAACAAATAGGGTTTATTTTCATCCAATACAAAAGCGAATCTAGCCTAATACATTAATATATAAATTACAAAAAAATAATGGAAACATATCACCCGAATCATAACATAATTCAAAAGATGTTGATATTCAAGTTCAAGGTCGAATTCTTCAAAATCTTGATATAATTGAGATTCAATTCCTTGTTAGGGCTTGATCTCTTCTCTTAAAAGGAATGAACCGACCTCTTGTTTTTGATGAATTTGATGATATTATTCTATATGAAGATGTAAGAGAGTTTTTTTTCCCCAACGTTTAGCCCTTGTTTTGTATTTATAGAAGTCAAAAATTAGGTCAAAATTGTATCCAATATGGCTTCTAAAAGAGTTTGAATTGCAGAAGGAAACTGCTGATTCGTCTTAGGAAAAATCCAACGTGCGCACCGGTATGCTTATTGTGCTCCCGTCATTGAACCATATGGCTCTCGGGTCATGAAATTTGTGTCTCGACCGTGAGACATGAATGTCCCACTTTGCATATTGGAAAGCTAAATCAAAAAAGTTACAATTCTTCTAGAAATACCATTTTTCCAATTTGAACGTTTACTATCCAAAAAATGGGTCTCATGTTGTGGCTAAGAATTCGGAGCATAACTCTTTCGTCTAGAACTTGATTTGTGAAAAATACTTCAACTCTATTTCACTCATTTGACCTCCAATTGTATCAAATTGATTCTATATGATCTTTAATCATCATTTTATGGTCTGAATCAACTATTGAATGCTTATACTTTGGTTCCCGAATTTGATTTTATTTAATTTTGCCCTTTTTTGTTTCTTTCTTCCACTTTCACTAATTTGCATTGAGTTCAACCTAACGAACAGAATAATGCTATGCAGCCCCATTCGGGTTGCAACCCTAATTTAGGTGGCTTCAGACAATATGCTGAATGAAAGGTGAAATTAAATGATTTATTTAATTTCACATATTATTTAATGCTACATTAATGTTACCTAAAATGAGGTTCTAACCCTAGTGGGACTAAATGTTGGAAACAAGCAAATTATCAGAATTGTTCTGATACCACTTGTTGATCTCGAAAATGTTGCAAGAATTGAAATTTAATGACATAATATGAAGATGTGATATAGACAAGATCACAACGATAGAAACAAGATTAAAGTAAATCAATTGATGAGAAATTAGCAGAGAAATCGATATTTTATTCAAAATAATATGGAGAGAATACAAGGAATTGAGCAATAATGCTTCACTTAAACTGAATGAAAAGCCACATATTTATAGGACATATCAAACCCTAAATATATCCTAAAGATGAAAATAATATAAAAATAATGTAGAATACAGAAAATAATATTTTTTCAATAGAATCACATTAAAATAAGGAAACAATATTTTCTAATAAAATCATGTGAAAATAAGAAAACAATATTTTTTTTTCAAAAAATCCACCCTAATTTGGGGTACAAAATCTAACAATCTCCAACTTAACCCAAATTTCGGTGCAACGAATGAAATTCATAATTTCTCCATCTCGAAAAATGTGCCCGACTACAGCGAAATAACCAAGCTCCTTAAATAGTAGCCAAAACTCTCCATCTCACGAAAACATCATCCTCTGTCCGGCATCCATAAGCGACACTCGAACCCTAATCCCAAGTTCTCAAAATTCCAACGAGGAATTTGAAATTGTTCGGATAAGGTAGAAGCACACCCTCTTTTAGAAAACACACAAAATGCTTGATCAGAAGGCCCCTTACTGGAACAGACACCTTCAAATATACGGAAAGCATTTTCGACATCTCCAATGCCATACTTACGCTTAATGGATCTAACCCTAGCATTTGAACACAGTGTATCCATTGAAACTGGTGGCAAAACAGAATCATCAACACTCCCCTGAGTAATGTTCTGAACTAAACCAGAGCCCTTCATAAGATGTACTGTACCAAATTGAATGTCAATAATGGTACCAAACCTGTTCAGATGTCTCTTAACTGGTTCTACGCACCCTTACAAGATGTACAACTGAGACCTCTTTCGTCCCTCTAGTACAATTTAGACACTCATTCGGACCTTTAAGACTCCACCTCCACTAGAGAGCTTATACCCATTCGATCCAAGGTAATCAGTGAGATGAGATTCATCTTCAGATTTGGAACATGTCGAACTTGGCCAAGAATTCTAACTATCTCATCCTGTAACCTCAATTTGACCCGATCGATACCAACAACCCGATAAGATTGGTTGTTTTCCATGATTATTCTACATTGCTTCACTGCCTCATATGACTCAAACAAGTCCCGCTTGGGACACATATGAAACGAGCAAGCTGAATCTAGAATCCACTCATTGTTAGGCTTAGATTCTACATCAGATACGGTCAAACACATCTCCGCCATCCTAAAAGTCCGCAACAACGTTGGTCTCGTCAGAATTATCTGATTGCCTCCCACGATTTACAGCTAAATAAATTTTAGCCTGCAATTTATAGCAATCCTTCTTGATATGTCA